TTTTTTTAAGTAACCAAAAACCTAAAGGTGGAAGCAAGTATTATTCAATGGCAGAACTTTTTTTCTGTCGCATAATAACAGCAGCAAAAATAATAATAATAATAAATTATGAACTATTTATAATCAACAATAACCGAATTAAAATAGCCTAATAATTGTTATTATTCATAAGTTATTTTTCCTTTCCATGTGTCACCACAGCGGAATGAATCGTCAACTAGTTTTGGTGAATCAGCTGCAACCCAATACTGAGGCAATTTGTTATTAATAATATTTAAAGTATTTGTAAAAAAAAACAAAAAAACATATATATATATATATATATATATATATATATATATATATATATATATATATATATATATATATATATATATATAAGCAATAATCTTTCGTTCATATTACATTTAAAATAAAATTGAATAAAATAAACTAAATTAAACTACAAACTATTTTGCACAAAATTAAGTAATATATAGCATTTATTAGCTTATAATAAATTTAAAGTGCCTTAATTAAAACACGCTTGAATTTCACTACATTGAAACTGAATTGTGATCGAGAAAATCAAGACAAATTATTCCAATTGTAGTGAAATGACATTTACCGAAACAAAGATTTAATTGAATTGTATTTTGTCTGCTGATATGTTATTAGTATAGTAGGCCTAAATATTTTAACATTTACGAGTATACATTTGTTTGTTTTTTGCCTTAAAGGTATTATTTTTATGTAAATACGCAGATTTATAAATCTGAATATTTATCATTGCGCTTCGCCATTAATTTGCCACGTGTAAAATGCTAATTTGTGTTTTATTTTTTATTATGACGTGCTTTCAAAAGGTCAAACACGATATACATTAATATTAATTAATTTAGCAGACACTTCTTTTTTTTTTTTTTTTCCCAATATGTTTATTGATTTTTTTCCTTTTCACCCCATCAACTAGGCATACAGACAACAATGCAGCCTACACAGCACATACCTACACCCTTTCTATATATATGTATATACACCCATACATACATACAAAAAAAAAAATATATATATATATATATACATACACATACACATATATATATATACATATACATACACATACATACACATAGTAATAAATATATACATACACATACATACACACACATACGCACATACATACATATACAATATTTGAATTATATATATGTGTGACATGAACAATAACGCAATAATACAAAAGAAAACGAAAAAAAGAAAAAAAGAAAAAAAAAAAAAAAAAAAAAAAGGGAAGAGAAAAAAAAAGGAAGAAAAAAAAAAGGTATTAATAAATAAAAAACATGTTTACAAACACACAATTTACATAATATTCATATATGGTTCCCAAAGATAGTCAAAGTTCTTCTGCTTGCCTTTGATGATATAAGTTAGTCTCTCCAGTCCAATACAGTTCAATATTTCTTTTTTCCACATTTCTATGGATGGAGCATCCATGTGTTTCCAGTATAATGCAATAGCAGCAGACACTTCTATGCTTTCAGATCTAAATACTGGAACATTTGACATATATCGGCCTACTTATACACATAGTTTGAAGTCTGAAAACCAAAAAATTTTAATATATTCCCTATTTCTGGAAATAAACATGTTTTTATATTTTAAGACAGGCTATCAGTAGCCTAAAACAAAACCCAAATCAACATTTTTCTCAAAACACGTACATATTAAGGGGAAATATCTATATAGCATTACTAGTTAATCATTTAATATTAAATGATTGTTCTGTGAAACATTCACAAGAAACATTGAGGGTTTTTTAATGTTCTTTGACATGCAAATTAATTGGAAACAATCATTCAGTAGCCTAAATGTAGGAAATTTGAAGTCAATTAGCCTATAATCGGCCTATTATAAAGACAATAGCAGTCCGTTGTCGTGTTTAAGTGAAGCTGTTAAAGTGAGTGTATTGTAATGTTCTCACGAGCTCATTGATCTACTCACTCCTGCAGTGATAAATGGCAGTAAAATCACAGTGTTTATCAGTCTGACAGATGAAAGGCTGATCTGCTGTTTGAGCTCTGCAAATGATTGCAGCCAATTGATGATCTGTCAGAAGAGCTGGCGCCTGCTCACATCAGATCCCTCCATCTGTACTGTACACAGCGTACTGTACATATATAGTCAATGGCAGCCTACATACTAATGAGGATTAAACACAGATCAAAGTCCTTATACTCATTCATTTTCCTTGAGCTTGGTCCATTATTTATCGGGGGTTCGCCACAGCGGAATGAACCGCCAACTATTCTAGGATATGTTTTTCACAGCGGATGCCCAGTACTGGGAAACACGCATACACTCATTCACGCATACACTACGGCTAATGTAGTTCATAATAAATTCCCCTATAGCGCATGTGTTTGGACTGTAAGGGAAACCAGTGGCGCAACAACACATTTACTGAGGGGTATGCGAGTTCTGACAAAATGTTATGGGCAAACTTTTTTTGTAACTAAATTGAAATAGTTTTGAGCAAAAAATGTTACCAAAAGACCTGATGTATCATTATGATACACTGTAAATGCGAATAGTATTCCTTACTATCAAAATTCTAGTGTGTTTACTTAATTTTAAGCTAATTGTTGAGTTTACTAGAAATGCATTAGTGTTGCTGACATAGTAAGGTATAAAGTTCCCATAACTAATGTAATTTGAGTAAAATTGCTTATAAGGGCTAAGCCATGCTGTTACGCATGCGTACTGGGTGGTGATTTCCCATCCCCCATCCCGAGTCACAACCAACCGCCACCCAGCACCGCCATTGAAGGACAGGATTTCATATTGAGAAGATGTACTGCTGTAAATCAAGGTAAACTTTTCGTTTTAATTACTACTTTGATTTTATTTGTATAGTATCAGTAATCTGTTTATTTCCTGCACTTTGTGAAATTGTTTGCTGTTTTGTGAACTAATTAATAGCCCATGATGTTGTGACTAAACGTTTTGACCACTGCACGTTATTTGCAATACTGTCTACTTTACTAGATAAGCTATTTTTAGCTGCTTAGTCCTTTTTAATAACTATTAATAATTTGTAAAGTTAGTAGTAATTTGTAAAGTGGGCGTTATGCTCTAAAAGAGCGGGCCGCGCCATTTTAAATGATGCACTGAGAGAGCAAGAGCGCGCGCAATGATCCGTTCAAATAGATGTTAAGTTAACACATAGCTGTAGGTCTACATTTTTAAAAAAGAAAACGAAACCTATTTATCCGCATTACAAATACAGTAACGTTAGTTATCGCTGAACTTTAGTGGCACTTGTTGTGACGAAAATATGCGTGTTTTTTTTTTTTAAGATTTACTTTTATGAGATCACCTGCAGGAAGCAGGTGAGGAGATCAGCTGTGATTCGGTCCGGCGTCAGCGAGCGGCTCATGACCGGACCAGTCGTTTTTTTCTCCATGATCGCCGGGGCAGCAGCAGTTTTAACCCGCCGAGGCTTTTAGAACATTATAAAGCAGTTTCAGCTCAAAATGGACCCGTGAGTGTCGTAGGTAATTTAGGATTTCGATGCGATTACGATTCGTGTCACTGTATGAGGCAGATACATATTTACACATGATGCTAAAGTGTGCTTATGCTAACAATCCCTATGAAACTTAAAGTTAAACTTATGAAAATGCGAGAGATATTTAATTAACTCATTTATTTGTTTTATATGCTATTTGTCTTTTCTTTATGCCGTTTTGAAGGTTTATTCCAGTGTAGCCGTTACATTATTGAGTGTTTTGTATTGCTGTAATGACAAATAAATCTGACCAGACGCGACTGAATATGTGTGATGGATAACGTTAATGATGAAGTGGTATAACTCGTACAACCAAGCACAGAAACATCCCTTTGTTTGCTCAATATCACACAAAGGCATCAACAAGCCTTTGTTATAAGCAAACTTTCTGTAAAGAAACAGGCTTTGTTAAACCTGTTAGTTTGCATTTTTAAAGAAGGTTTCACTAATTTTTAACAATTTAGGGCAAATAAATTTGAACAATTACAAGGTTGTTTAAATGTAGCACACCATTAGAGTATTGTGGCATATTTGGTTTGTAATATCATTATACCCTTTATTTATTTTTTATTTCAGACTACCAGTTTGTGAGCTGATATGCAGTGGAAATGTAAGTT